TATCCGGGCGTTGTGCCGGGCTAATTTTATTTTGGTGACGTCGATGTCCATGGCTATTACTGATGTAAAATCAAAAATAAAAAACACCGGTTATATACTGTATTTTGATATTATAAACGAAAATGGTAAATTTTACGCGTATTGGCGTTTAGATACGTACCCTTCCCGCAGGTTTTGGCTAATTGGATAACATTACCACCAGCTCCGCAAAACGGGTCCACCGCGACCCCGTTCGGAAATCGGCAGTAACGTTCAGCAATGTGTCTGGCCAGAATTTCAGGGCAAACGGAATAGAAGCTTTCTGTAAAACAATGAAACGTTAAACGAATAATAATATTAAACGAACGAGACACGAAACGCGATCAATTATTATTAGGCGGCGAATATAGGTACCGTGGTCTAACAGTATACCGGCGTCAAACCGTGTATAAAGGAGATATCGCTGAACCCAATATTTCCTAATGCGATTCAGCTCTGAGTCCGTGGTCTTACCGAGAAGAAAAATAAAACAAATATTTATCAAACACATTTCGTCGCGAGTATTGTAATTACGCGACCTACAAGTGTATTCAAGTATAATTTACCTCAGTACAATCTCCGCAGAACCGTTTGACGTCCGCGGTGTATTTTCGAGCTTCTACTCTATTAAAGTTTGTTCTTTTTGCTGAAATAATATAGTGCATTGAAATGGATTATAACCAAATGCGTGTGTGTGTGTTTTTTTTTCAAATTAATAAGTTACAGAAAAATTACGTAGTCTCGGTGGTTGTACTATATATTTTTATAAGAATTGAATTATTACCGAATTACNTTATTAAAGTTTGTTCTTTTTGCTGAAATAATATAGTGCATTGAAATGGATTATAACCAAATGCGTGTGTGTGTTTTTTTTTTCAAATTAATAAGTTACAGAAAAATTACGTAGTCTCGGCGGTTGTAATATATATTTTTATAAGAATTGAATTATTACCGAATTACATATTATTTCAACGCAATAAATTATATGTATGATATTTTACTTACCGTTGGAAGTCAAATACTTTCGACTGGATACCTCCACAAACGCAGGGTTCTGAAATAAAATTCAACGGTTATTTTAAACGATTAGTCATGTTTCGGCGATTTAAAACGATAATAATTTGTACTTACAACCATGTCGTCTTGTAGGAAACTGTACTCGACGTTACCGGTACCGAGATCTTCGTGTACAATAAACTCGTGGACGTCCAACACGTTTTCCTTAGCAACGNAATTACATATTATTTCAACGCAATAAATTATATGTATGATATTTTACTTACCGTTGGAGGTCAAATACTTCCGACTGGATACCTCAACAAACGCAGGGTTCTGAAATAAAATTACACAGTTATTTTAAACGATTAGTCGTGTTTCGGCGATTTAAAACGATAATAATTTGTACTTACGACCATGTCGTCTTGTAAGAAGCTGTACTCGAGGTTACTCGCACCGAGATCTTCCTGTACAATAA